AGAGAGAGGAAGGAAGAGAGTAAAAGAGGAGGGGCCAAACAAGGCAACGTGAAAAACAGAGATAGACAGTTAGATATAGATATAGATGGATATGGAGAGGGAAAAAGGCAGATAAAGAAGAACGAGAGACCGTTGGAGAGGGAAGGGAAAAGGGAGAGCGAAGGGCCCGTACGTTTTCGGCGTACAAAAAGTAATTATGGGATGGTTTCCGGTAATCATATCTAGAGCGCATTGAATGAGCGCATTGTTCGGCACCCCTTCACCGATATGCACTTGTACACGGCGCCACCCCCGGTGTGCCTACTACGGTTTTCCACCCCACACCGTACTGTTCCTTGTGTTATATACGCGCTGTGGCTACGACCAACCCACGTAACCACCACTATAACCATCATTACCCGTACTCCCTCTCCCTCTCTCTCCCACCCCTCCTACCCTTGGCCACAGAAACCAACCACGGCTACGATTTGTTCTATCTATGTATGTATATGTATATCTGGATATCTATCTATTTATTCGCCTGCCTTTCTCATTTCATTCGTATCGTGTTGTTTTCGATAATAGTTTATATGCTTGTAAGTATGTATATATAATATAATAGACTATACATACATACATATATATATATATATATATATATATATATATATATATAAAATCTTATTATTCATTATTATTAATTGTTTTATTTATTTTATAAAATGGTACATATTTGTTATGTTTAGAAAGCTTTGGAATTTGGAAGTTCAAGAAATGTTATTAATAATAATAGATTATTTAAATATATGTTTTTTACAAAATTGCAATACATTCTATATATTAAAATGTTTTGAGTTAATTGACGTTCATTTAATTAACGCATTTAGTATTAATTCGTCGGTCATATCATTCATTTTTAAATGTACTTTTTCAAAGATTCGTTTGCTTGAAATATTTTACAAAATTGCAATACATTCTATATATTAAAATGTTTTGAGTTAATTGACGTTCATTTAATTAAACGCATTTAGTATTAATTCGTCGGTCATATTATTCATTTTTAAATGTATTTTTTCAAAGATTCGTTTGCTTGAAATATTTTATTAAAAATGTAACTATTTAAATAAAATATTTATTTATATATCTCTATACTTTTTGTCTAATCTCACTAAATCCTAAAATACACAGACAAGAAAAGAAGGTACGAAAAAATTTACAATGTACTTGCTTCTTGTCTCAAGTTAAAAATAAAATAATAATAAAAATAGTTTATTTAAATATATGAATAATTTTCACCTAAATATTGAATAATAATCATCTAATTAATGTTCACCTAATTAACGATTTAATATCTGTCCATCGTTCATATTATTCATTTTTATATGTACTTTTTCAAAGATTCGGTCGCTTGTAATATTTTTCTAAAAATGTAACTATTTAAATAAAACATTTATATATTATATATACATATATAAATTGTTATATATATATATATATATATATATATATATATATATATATATATTCCTCTATTCCTCTGTACTTCTCCTTGTATAGTCTCACTAAATCCTAAAATACACGTTCAGAAACAAGAAAAGAAGGTACGAAAAAATTTACAAGGTACTTGCTTCTTGTCTCAAGATGAAAATAAAATAATAATAAAAATAGTTTATTTAAATATATGAATAATTTTCACCTAAATACTGAATAATAATCACTTAATTTAATGTTCACCTAATTAACGATTTAATATCTGTCCACCGTTCATATTATTCATTTTTATATGTACTTTTTCAAAGATTCGTTTGCTTGTAATATTTTTCTAAAAATGTAACTATTTAAATAAAATATTTAGTATTATATATATACATATATAAATTGTTATATATATATATATATTCCTCTATTCCTCTGTACTTCTCCTTGTATAGTCTCACTAAATCCTAAAATACACGTTCAGAAACAAGAAAAGAAGGTACGAAAAAATTTACAAGGTACTTGCTTCTTGTCTCAAGATGAAAATAAAATAATAATAAAAATAGTTTATTTAAATATATGAATAATTTTCACCTAAATACTGAATAATAATCACTTAATTTAATGTTCACCTAATTAACGATTTAATATCTGTCCACCGTTCATATTATTCATTTTTATATGTACTTTTTCAAAGATTCGTTTGCTTGTAATATTTTTCTAAAAATGTAACTATTTAAATAAAATATTTATGTATTATATATATATATATATATATATATATATATATATATACCTCTATTCTTCTGTACTTCTCCTTGTATAGTCTCACTAAATCCTAAAATACACGTTCAGAGACAAGAAAAGAAGGTACGAAGAAATTTGCAAGGTACGTGTTGTCTCCTGTCTAGAGATTTGCTTTGCTAGAGAGCAACGAGCGTGTAATCGAAGAGAATAGCATCTGGCGATCGCCGAAGCGGCAGCCTAAATTTGACCCTCGACGTCAACGATGACTTTTAGCGGTTGGATCAGTCAAAGGGCACATTATTGGGCCTGGTTCAAGAGCGCGAGAGTGCCAGTTCTCCTTTCTCTTTCTCTCTCTCTCTCTCTCTCTCTCTCTCTCTCTCTCTTGTCCGTTCTCTTTCGAATTCGATTTTCATCGAAGGCTATTTTTGCGTGTCGCATCGGCAGGGTTACAAAAGAAAAGAAGAGGCGAAAATCAAAAGAGAGTTTTTCTTATCTGCCCTCTTCGAATACCTCACGAGCTGGGAAAAGAAATTTGTCACGATTGAATCGTAGCCTCGTTCCTTCGTTCAAACGTTTCCCTCCTCGTACTTAGCTATTTGCGAACAGCTTCTCTCTCTCTCTCTCTCTCTCTCTCTCTCTCTCTCTCTCTTTCTTCTTTACTCTCTCTATCTATCTATCTATCTCTCTTTCTATCTCTTTGAGAACACGTTTCGCCAAAGTCCGATCGTCTCAGAAAATAAGATTAAATAAAACGAGGAATCTCGAATAGGTACGTACATACATACATACATACATACATACATACATACATACATACATACATACATATATATATATATATATATACATCTCGGTTTTTTATATAAAAAAAAATCAAAGAGGGAAAGAGAAAAAAGAAAAAAAGAAGAAGAAGAAGAAGAAGAAGAAGAAGGGAAGAA